CCAAATCAGTAACATTGAATAGATTTGGGTATTTTTCTATTGTTTCTAAAAGGAATTTTATTTAATGAAAGAATTTATTGATTGTGTTTTAAAGGTTTAAAAATGTTTATGACCAACAGTTAGAAAGTATGAAATTTATTTTTATACAATATTCAGCACATTTCAGCAGAATATGACCATGCTTATATGATTATACAAGTTGATTAGTTAAAGATAAAAAAAACCAAGTTGATTAGTTAATAATCAACCAATAATCACACAATCAAAGGAATTTAATATATTTATTAGCATGGTAATTAAGAAATTACATTTGTATTTTTGTCTAAGTTTTCATTAAAATCTGGTATAAATTTCAAAGATATTTTAATTTTTTGTATAAAGCTTATAAAATAAATCATAAAACATTCATATTTTTGTCTAAGTTTTCATTAAAATCTAGTATAAAATTCAAGTAATTCAACTTTTTTTATTTAGTTTACCAAAAAAAAATCATAAAACTTTCGTATTTTTGAATATATTTTTAATGGTACGAGTTTGCAGTGGTACGAGTTCTGATTGGTACGACTTCCCAGTGGTACGAGTTTACGTTGGTACGAGTTTACAATGGTACGAGTTAACTTGCTTCTGTACAAAGTATGCATTGCTTATGGAAGTTCATTTAATTATAAAAAAACTAATGTTTTATAACCTTTTTCAGGGCACAAACCCACCATACAGAGACTTAAGTCTACTGCCAATCCCAGCCTATTTTCCTGGACCAAGCAAGAGACTGAATCGTCCGCAAAAAGAAAAATCAGGGCAGTTTCCTGTGAAAACAAAAGAACTAAACTTGATGAATATTGTAGTAGAAATCTAGAGGAAAGTTTTGATTGTAAAGTTGGTTTTCCTGAAGAAGTAATTCATACTGCAGACAGGATTTATGACTGTCCACCACCAACTGCCGAGCTAATGTTGAGCTTCACAGATGGAATTACACAAACACCATCAATGCCTATATTTTCAGCAGAGAATTTTGAAATGAAGACACGTGACACAGCCATGCATTTTTATACCGGTTTAGAGTTGTTTTATTAAATTTTTATTTGTTTTGACCACACTTGGTTCAACAGCACATTGTTTGAGATACATATATTTTCAAATTGATAGGGTGTCATTTGAAAATCAGTTTTTTTATGACTTTGATGAAATTGATGCATTATACAACCAACTTTGAACTGTCTAGATTCTAGATTGAAACTAGTGTTAAGAATATTGTGTAAACATGGATTGTTTTTATGTCTAAACAGTGGCGTGAGGCTAACACTTGGCAATTTAGTGGTTTAGTCAGGTATTTTTCGCCATCCAACTTAGAATTAAAGTTTCCTACAACTTGGATTATTATTGACAGCACAGAATATCCCGTGATAAAAGCTAAAGCTCCTAGAGCTCAGGCAACCTTTTCATCACATAAAAACAGAAACACTGAAAATACTTGTATGTTCGACACCTGGTGGTTTAGTCAACTATGTCTCTAATGCATATGTTGGTTGTACCAGTGACTGTGAAATAGTTGAAAGATGTAGAATAGTTCAATTATGTGATCCAGGTGACAGTGTGATGGCAGACAAAGGTTTAAATGTGCAAGATTTGTTTGCTCACTTTTTTCAAAAAAAGAAACAGAATTAGTTCCAAAACTCTTATACGGGATAGAAAAGTCTCCAATTAACACGTGCACTTGGCAAAACATACAAAATTCTAATAAATCCTATGAATGGAACTGAAACAAAACTTTCATCTGAAATAACATTTAGTTGTTTTATGTTGTGTAATTTTAGAACTTGTATTGTGCGAAAGGATGCATAAATAAAAGTGACGCAATGAAGTTTGTTCTGATATATATATATAAATATTATTTACAATCACATGCACATGTGAATTGTAATGCATATAAAAATAAGGAGATGTGGTATGATATTCAGTGAGTTTATCGAACCAAAGTGCATAAGAAATGGGTTAAGCAGTTACAGGTGTTACTGTCACCATACAATCTCCAACAATTAGAAAAACTTGTACCGTGTAAAAAATTTCAGAGATCTTACAACTAAGTTTTGTTGTCTCACCTTGACTTTGGTGAATTGTTTATATCTGTTGATGTAAATATAAAAAAGAAGATGTGGTATGATTGCCAATGAGACAACTCTCCACAAGAGACCAAATGACACAGAAATTAACAGCTATAGGTCACAGTACGGCCTTCAACAATGAGCAAAGCACATACTGCACAGTGAGCTATAAAAGGCCCCGAAATGACAATGTAAAACAATTCAAACAAGAAAACTAACGGCCTAATTTATGTACAAAAAATGAACGAATAACAAATATGCAACACATAAACAAACGACAACCACTGAATTACAGGCTCCTGACTTGGGACAGGCACATACATGTACATACAGAATGTGGCGGGGTTAAACATGTTCTCGGGATCCCAACCCACCCCCTAACCTGGGACAGTGGTGTAACAGTACAATATAAGAGCGAACTATAAAAATCAGTTGAAAGAGGCTTAACTCATCAGATGGATAAATACAAATACAAGTGGACGTGGCCGGGTAGTTGTACATCCAAACAACAAAAAGACACTAAGTACAGATCTGAGAGTACTCGCATTTACTGACAGCTAGTTCAAAGCCACAAACAACTGATAAAAAAATCTTGCATCTAAGACTAAATTATCAATCCGTAAGCTCCCTTTAGAATTTTATAAATTTTAGATTTTACATTTCTGAGTTATGGGGTTTTATTCATTAAAAAGGGGGGGATTTTCCAGTTTTTGGACAACAACTCAAAAATGCTTTAAGCAGTTCGCATGAAACTTTGGTGAATTATTTATAGCTATTGATGTAATCTCCCTATTGATTTTCATAAATTTCAAATATGACATTGAGAAGAAATTGAACTTTATTTGTTTATAGTCTGGCAACAGATTTATTAAGTATTGCGCAACAGCACAGTGTATTGCACAACAGCAAGAAATCTTTAATTGAATATAAATTCAATTCATATAACCGATTTCAAGTTCTTTGACTACATTTATTCAGAAACTATAATATGTCAAATATTTAATTACAATCCAAATTCAGACCTGTATCAAGCTTGAATATTGTGTCCATTTTTGCCCCAACTGTTCAGGGTTGGACCTCTGTGGGTGTATCCAGCTGCGCTCAGCGAATCAGTGTATTACTTAATTAAGAACTCCTTTTTGTCGAGCCTGCGACTTTTGTCGCAGAAAGCTCGACATAGGGATAGTGATCCGGCAGCGTTAGCTAACTTCTTAAAAGCTTTATATTTTAGAAGGTGGAAGGTCTGGATGCTTCATACTTTGTATATGGATGCCTCATGTTACGAAGTTTCCGTCAGTCACATGTCCAATGTCCTTGACCTCATTTTCATGGTTCAGTGACTACTTGAAAAAAAAGTTAAGATTTTTTGTAATGTTGAATTCTCTCTTATTATAAGTAATAGGATAACTATATTTGGTATGTGCATACCTTGCAAGGTCCTCATGCCCGTCAGACAGTTTTCACTTGACCTCGACCTCATTTCATGGATCAGTGAACAAGGTTAAGTTTTGGTGGTCAAGTCCATATCTCAGATACTATAAGCAATAGGTCTAGTATATTCGATGTATGGAAGGACTGTAAGGTGTACATGTCCAACTGGCAGGTGTCATCTGATCTTGACCTCATTTTCATGGTTCAGTGGTTATAGTTAAGTTTTTGTGTTTTGGTCTGTTTTTCTTATACACTATGCAATAGGTCTACTATATTTGGTGTATGGAATGATTGTAAGGTGTACATGTCTAGCTGGCAGGTGTCATCTGACCTTGACCTCATTTTCACGGTTCAGTGGTCAAAGTTAAGTTTTTGAGTTTTGTCTTTTTTTCTAATACTATATGCAATAGTTCAACTATATTTGGTGTATGGAAATATTTTATGATCTATATGTCAGTCACGCAGGTTTTTTTTTACCTTGACCTCATTTTCAAGGTTCATTGCTCAGTTTTAAGTTTTTGTGTTTTGGTCTGTTTTTCTTAAACTATAAGCAATAGGTCAACTATATTTGTTGTATGGAAGAATTGTTAGCTGTACATGCCTGCCTAGCATGGTTCATCTGACCTTGACCTCATTTTCTTGGTTCATTGGTCAATGTTTAGTTTACTTGGTTAATGTTAAGTTTATGTGACAGTTGTAATAAAGCTTTATATTTAGGACTATCAACATAATATCAATGATTAGTAAAGAAGGCGAGACATTTCAGTGTGTGCACTCTTGTTTCATTCATAAATTACTTTATACTTGGAAATATAATTTTGCTTGGAGTTATAGTTTCTAAAAAAAGTATTGTCATTGAAAGAGTTGACATGTTGCAATGTACATTTATTCTACATAGTTCTATGGTACCCAATCAAAAGTTTATATTAAAGAAAGAAGTCAAAGGTTTCCCATCATAGTTTAGTTACATACATTTTTTTTATACCTGAGGTCGTTGAATATAGATCATTATATAAATAAGGAGATGTGTTATGATTGCCAATGAAACAACTATCATCCATACATTGTACTTACCAGTAACAAACCACATTTGCAAAGTTGAATAAAATACAGTTGATAACATTTACTTATTACTTAAAAGAAAATGCCAAACTATTTTAAACAGTATTTGACTATAAACATAGATAAAAAAGGTACAAACTGGACATAATGCACTAGTTCATAAACAAGTGAGAACAATCGCCTTCATATAGTGCTCAGAATATGACATTCATAAAACTTGTTCAATATCATTAGAGAACTCTAAATCTTAAATACTGAAAGCCACCTCTGATAAGTACAATGTACTATGCAAGATAATGATATAACTGGACTAAAAATACACACAACCTGTAATTAACTGCCTTTACAGCGCTTTCGCGCTTTGATTTATAAATAGATCTTACTCATTATTTTTTATCTTTTTAGAAATCAGTATGTATCCTCAACAAAGTCAGCAAGGGTCAAGTGGTGGACATCCTAAACGTCGGAAAAAACGACCAATACATGGCCTAAGAGTAGTAGAAGTTACAAGGAGTAAAAGTGGATACGGATTTACAATTTCTGGTCAGCATCCTTGTGTTTTAAGCAACATCGTTAAAGATAGTCCTGCTGAATATGCCGGGTTAAAAGCTGGCAATTATCTGGTAGCTGTTAATAATCTAAACATAGCCAAAGCTCCTCATGATGATGTTGTACGTATGGTGGGAACCAGCACAGGTACTCTGATCTTACAGGTGGCTGAAAGTTACAATAGTTCAGATTCTTCTGATGAAGAATATCATCATAGGACTAAAGCTCGATATCCAAATAGAATCCGTCAAAGACATGGATCAAAACATGGTGAAAGAGTGTTAGGGGAATGTAACCAAAGAGAAAAACATAATTCTCAGGAACATAGACACAAAGAAACACATTTTGCCAAACCAGCTGATACCAAAGGTGCCATATCTAGGTCAAGAGCACGTCTGCATACACCTGTAGGTGCTGAAAATACTGTGACTCATTCTTCCAAAGATCTTCATCAGTTTGCAGGACCTTTACCTGTAGAGAGACGTTCAGCATCTCAGTCTCGATCATTGCATGTCACTCCAGTCATGCAGAGACCTCAGGCTAAACAAGCTATTGTAAAAAGTACAACCCAGAGTGCTCACTCATCCAGACAAATGGCATTCATGGGATCTAAAAACCATTACGGTAGTGTAGATCAAAATTTGAATGGTATAACAAATGCCCAAAAGTCATACGCAAATAACAGTATATCGTCTTTATTAAAAACATCAGTTGCCAATACTTCAGCTAATAATGCATTCATTGTTATGGATGATGATGACGGTGATGATGAAGAGAGTTTATTGAATCAGAGTTTTCATGAAACAAGGGTTGTAGTTGGTTACATTGGTTCATTAGAAATGCCCAGTGATGCTGACAAGCCACATATTCGCATTCAGTCAATTCGAAATGCAGTGCGTAGATTAAGAGTTGAACAAAAAATTCATACTTTAGTATTAATGGAAGTTTCAGCAGATGGTGTCAAGTTGACAAACTGTATGGGAACAACTGTTGCCCATTATCCTGTTGATAGGATAGCATTCAGTGGTGTTACACCTGATGACAAACGATTCTTTGGGATTGTCACATTACATTGTTCTAACAGTGATGAAACTGGAAGTGAAGCTGGTAGTCAGGATGAATCTGTTTCTAGTGGATCCTGTCATGTATTCATGGTTGATCCTGAAATCAAATCACATAATATTCATGCACAAAAAGCAAAGTCGTTTGGTATAACATGTACACCTACACCAGACAGACATCATTGCGCAGAGTTTCCTAAATCTGCTACACCAGTCATTCTATGCATCAGTAATTTGTATAAAGATAGACCAGGGGTGTCTAATGACAATGAATTAGCACTGTCTCAGGCTTTTACTGACCCTTCAAGAGCCCCACAGCGTACCGCTAGTAATAGCAGCAATAGTGATAGTGGACTTGGTTTTGGTAAGGAAGAACCTGGTTCTGAACGTGTATTGGTTGTGAACATGCCTCCACCACCTGACCCACCGAGTCAGAATGGATGGCACGCTACAATTAACAATTCTGTTCACCATTGTTCACCTGATAATCATACTATACCAACTCCATGCCGTAACGTTCCGAAATCTGTCTCTATGCATGGGGAAGCAAGCAATAGATTGAACCAATCAACTCTAAGTGAAGATTGGGGCAGGAACAAGCGAAAAATAAACCCCAGAGCAATGCCTGATCATGGACCAAAGTATAATTCTACTGATGGATTAGAGAGACAAAATAGTGCAGAAAATCTCAGAGCTAGTATGAGAAGACTGATACAACAAAGACAACGAAGTGGTTCGACCATCAGCAGTGATCAGGAGTCAAACAGTTCAAATGTGAGTGACTTTCAAAGGTCTTTTTCACAACCTGATCTTCAAAAGTCATCAACTTCCGCATTCAGTAAACACCTGCCTGACCAGAGTTATGGCTCCTGTCCAAACAACAGCAAAATTGACAATGGAGATGTTGATGATGACAGATTAAGTCCAAGAGCTTTCTTACCACCACCTTTTTCACAGTTACGATCACCATCAGCTCCTCCAACCTTTCACCGGGATGATAGTTTTGATGATATTCCTGCAGCAGAGACCAGTGGGATGTGTAGTCTGATAGAGAGATTTGAACAAGACCAGGCCTTCAGAATATCATCACCTGTAGATGTGTCTCGTAGATACTCTGAAGGAACACCAAAACAGCAAAAACAGGTAAAATTCTTTTTTTAAGTACATGTGCAACTTGTTATGGCTTTCCTTCAGTAGTCAGTGCTTCTGTACTAACATGATTAATACATGTAGCATACCTTTCTTAAATACTCTGTTGATAATATTTGATATTATTTAGAAACTAAGGTTTCCAATATCCCCTCAGGCAAAATTCGCCTCAAGTGGATTTGGCTATTCCTTTAGGGTCCCTTTTAATCATGTACAGTGTAGCTCCATTCAAAAAGTTACACATCCTTGACTCAAATTTTTGGATTTCTGTGTTCCTTTTGTCAGAAGGTAAATTTAAACAGACTCATTTTCCATTTATTTTTTTCAATAAGGGAGAACTTGATCCCCTTTCATAAAAATAAAAATGAGAAGAAGTGGAATGAATTACAATTAGACAACTTTCAACCAGAAACTACATGACGTAAAAGTTAGCAACTATACATGTAGGTCACCATGTACATGCATATAATAATTGTCATAAGATCTTTATGTTTTGAACTTTTGATCCTAGAGGACATGCCCTGCACTCTTAATAAAAGAAAGCAGCAAAAGTTATCTGCAATATAAGATCTAGTGCTACAAAAATCGCAATATGACTAAATCCATTGGATGACTCGAGCTCAAGCTCCTTATACAACATTGTACAATGTACATGTAAAAATGATTTTTGACTAATTTTAGAGTTTTGCTTACTAGTATTATCTCAATTTTTTGACAAGTGAGTGATTCAGGCTCTTATGATCCATTAATTTGTATCAAATTCACTTTGTTATAAGGACCATGTCCATTTTTGTATACATTGTAATTTGTTATGCTAATTGTAATATCTTCATCATGTTCATGCTGCATCATTAAAATTGAAACGTATCATTTGAGAAAGTTTGTCCAGATTTTTTCAACAAAACAGACCGGGAAGTATAATTATAGCTGCTAGCTAGTAAGCATGGCAATTGTGTGTAATAACAATATTAAGACAACCATTTTGAAATTAGAACCACTTTCTTTCTTTTTTTTAATGTAGTTATTAAGTCTCCCAAACGAAGTTTTGGAAGACTTATTGTTTTTGCTCAGTTCTTATTATTATTATTATTATTCTTCTTCTTCTTCTTCTTCTTCCGCCGCTTTTAAATTTGAACTTGTCCGCACCCGTTCTCCAAAACCGCTTGTCAGATTAACTTAGGGTTTCACAATATGTTAGACTAACATGTCTAGTGGTGCAATCAGGGTTTTGTTTGTGCAATGGGGTTTATAAAGGGGTACTTTGAGGGGCAAAAAGAAAAGAGGGTTTTACTATAGAACCCTATGGGATTTTATTTTTTAAAATTTTCAAATGATTATAAATTGAAAACCGTTCGTGATAGACACAATCTTTTTAATTGAAAATGTTCTAAATGATAAAGCCCATTAAATGAAATACAGGGTTAGTCCCCAGGGGTCACCCCCACCCCCTGCCATTTAAGAAAGTTCTAATACCTTGTAAGTGGTCAAGATCCCCACCCCTAAACCATATATATTCTGGTTTGTCATGCTAAGATGGTTTCAATGATATACAGGGTTAGTCCCCAGGGGTCATCCCGACCCCCTGCCATTTGAGAAAGTTCTAATATCTTGTAAATGGTCGAGATCCCCACCCCTAAACCATATATATTCTGTTTTGTCATGATAAAGCACATCAAATGTAATACAGGGTTAGTCCCCAGGGGTCACCCCCACCCCCTGCCATTTAAGAAAGTTCTAATATCTTCTAAGTGGTCAAGATCCCCACCCCTAAACCATATATATTCTGGTTTGTCATGCTAAGATGGTTTCAATGATATACAGGGTTAGTCCCCAGGGGTCATCCCGACCCCCTGCCATTTGAGAAAGTTCTAATATCTTGTAAATGGTCTAGATCCCCACCCCTAAACCATATATATTCTGTTTTGTCATGATAAAGCACATCAAATGAAATACAGGGTTAGTCCCCAGGGGTCACCCCCACCCCCTGCCATTTAAGAAAGTTCTAATATCTTGTAAGTGGTCAAGATCCCCACCCCTAAACCATATATATTCTGGTTTGTCATGCTAAGATGGTTTCAATGATAACCAGGGTTAGTCCCCCAGGGGTCATCCCGACCCCCTGCCATTTGAGAAAGTTCTAATATCTTGTAAATGGTCGAGATCCCCACCCCTAAACCATATATATTCTGGTTTGTCATGATAAAGCACATCTAATGAAATACAGGGTTAGTCCCAGGGGTCACCCCCACCCCCTGCCATTTAAGAAAGTTCTAATATCTTGTAAGTGATCAAGATCCCCACCCCTAAACCATATATATTCTGGTTTGTCATGCGAAGATGGTTTGAATGATATACAGGGTTAGTCCCCAGGGGTCATCCCGACCCCCTGCCATTTGAGAAAGTTCTAATATCTTGTAAATGGTTGAGATCCCCACCCCTAAACCAAATATATTCCTATTTGTCATGTCTCGAACATTTGAATGACGTATACGGTCAGTCCCCAGGGGTTCCCCCCACCCCCAATGTTCTAATATCTTGTAAATGGTTGAGATCCCCACCCCTAAACCATATATATTCCTGTTCGTCATGTAATGAACATTTGAATGACGTATAGGGCCAGTCCCCAGGGGTTCCTCCCCACCCCCAATGTTCTAGTATCTTGTAAATGGTCGAGATCCCCACCCCTAAACCATATATATTCTGGTTTGTCATGCCAAGATGATTTGAATGATATACAAGGTTAGTCCCCAGGCATCACTAATGCATATAACTTTACTGGACCAAACCAATTTTCACTGGACGTTGCCCAATGTCAGGCGACCCTGGGAATTACGAATTATGGGAGTTTCGTTTGGGAGACTTCGTAACAGCATCCTGTTACAATCATTTCTTGTTTTAATTACGTTGTACATGCATGTATATAAAATCTCCAAATAATTTATAATAGTTTGGATATACAGAATATTCTCCATGGATTATAAATAACTATTATAAAACTTCTTGCTTAGAACACAATTATAAGTAATTAATGACACGTACAATGATAAGTACAAATGGCCAAGTACAATGTATATTACATGTACATCAGAAAAATAATCAACAAACACTCAGAAATTTATATCTTACGTCTTAAACTTAAACTGAGGTTTTTCTGTGAGAAAATCCATAAATTATTTAGAAAAAAAAATCATTTCCCACGTACTTGTTGATGTTAGTCTACTGTACAAGTTTTATATAAATAAATCATTTGTTTTGGTTTTCTAGTAAAGAGTTGGTGTGTTAAGTAGTAGCTACTTCTTAATAATTTATAAATTTCCTTTTTGTTACAACGACGATTTCCTGAACAATACAGGATATAACTGTACTCACAAATACCATACATGGATAGAAAGTGTAAAGACGGTTAATTTTACATTTTCAAAACGGTTTCATTGTTTTCATTGTGAAGGACTACTTTAATTGAAAGTGCTTATGAGTGTAAAATGTTTTATGTGGACAGTGATGAGGAAAATGGGGGGTCAGGGTCAAATGATAATGTTGTATTAAGAAGAAAGGCAAGTGTTGATGAACCTGAAGATGAGCATGAAGAGAGGCCTGTTGAGTTACGGACAGCATTATTCGAAGCTATGAACCTTGTTACTCCAATACCACGTAAAAGACAAATATCACCCGCTCAGTTACGTAGGTTCTATAGTCAGAGGCGTACAACCAAATTAATTCAGTCCTATAAGGTAGGTTTACTTAATACATGTAACATTGGCTCAGTACAGAGGCTTTGTATTCACCATTTATACAGTATACAGCCATGCAATGGGCAAAATGAAGGTTTGCAAGTACAAACAAAATGTATCATCATTTTGAAAGAAAGAAAATATTTTTAGTTATTCCGGGTTCCACTTACTCCAGATATTTATACTCCAGGGGAAGTAATAAATTTTCTTTCCAGAGACAACCTTAGTATTTAAATAGAGTTATCTTTCTTTGTAAGACCGTAAAATCATGGAATAACGATTATTTTAATATCAATTATACATTTTTGTCAAGCCTTTCAATATTTTTGAACACTTGAATAGAATAATTTAGTATACAAATATTTGTTACAATATTTTGCTATATTATTTAAAAAATTATTGTGAGGCCATTTGGAGTTCATTTATTTGGTATCAATAGGAGCAGATTTTTCTTATAGTTTTGTTGTAAGGCTTTCTTATTTTCTAATAATATGAACGTTAACACAGTTTTATTTTTTTGTTCAGAAATTTGCAATATATATTTCAACCAAATTGAATTGTAAAAGTTGTTATACACAGACTACACAGACTATGTATTTGGTTTAAATGATTAATCTCCAAATTACCTTAAAAAATAATGTAAATTAGTGTCACAATATATAGTAATCTCTTTAATTTATTTTCTATCGGTTTAAAATGGTTGAATATTATCATTAATTATCTTCTTTCAATAGTAACTTATAAAGGGATTATTGTAGATTGGTGATTCTCAAATTAGCTCTTTATAATAAAATTTACATGTAAATAGAAATTTCTACAATCTCTGCTCAATTAAGATATTCTAATAAGGAATTGATCAAATCTAGTCTTTTTGTCACTATTTTTATAGTGTATGTTGATTAAGTGGATCTAAGTTTGATCTATCAAAATTTATTTAGGAAATGGGGACATGTTTTTAGTTTATGGTAGATATACTAATGGCAAAATACAAGAAGGTTTGTTTTTTTTTATATTTTATACATGTATTTAAATATCATATATTAATGAAATATTGAAATAAGATATTTGTCAACAAGACTGCAAGCAGCAATAAATAAACAGCATAAACAGAAAAATAAACATCTAAATGTGAGCACACAGCCTGTGCATGCTTTATCTTAAATACATTTACCATCTCCCTATAGTGCTCAGGTTGTGTTTGGGCATAAATAATTGGAGTAGCATAACTTGTTGAATAAATCTAGTGTCTATGATGAGATACTA